AAAAAAAAAAAAAAAGCCTAGGATCACACAACTTCCCAGGGACAGAACTGAGACACAGATCTGAATCTCTCGACTCTCAGTCCATGCTGAGGGATTCTGGTTTATTTGTTTGTTTGTTCAGTCTGCTCTCTGACACATCTAGAGCTGCAGGAGCAGAAAACACATTTCCCTTTGGTTGAACATTTGGCCGCAGATCTTTGCAGGTCAAGCTCAGGGTGCAAACAAAGGAAACGTTAACGCGCCTGCTCAGCCCTGTGCCATCAGTAAGGACTCTGGAAGCCGGTGTACCGGCCTTCACTCTTGGGAAACTCCCTCCGGATCCTCCAGCGGCAGCAGCTGGGCAGGATGGCAAAGTCGGCGAGGTCCTGGGAGCCGAAGCGCCAGGTGGCGTAGCACCTGTAGGCGCAGTGCCGCAGCCGGCTGTTAGAGTTTTCATCCAGCTCCAGCAAGGGCTCCTGGTAGAGCAGGAGGAACTGCAGGAGCTGTCGGGACAAGACGAGCTTCCTGAAGGGCTCTGAGGTGGTGATGCAGGCACCCGCCTTTTTCCGACAGCACAGTTCTTCCAGGCATCTGTGGCTCTCGGGGAGCTGGGACGGGAGGCAGTGTCCACACTGGCACCAGTCTGGGCTGTTGCTGGATCTGGGAGCCGCTTCGTCACTTAACAGCTGGATCTCCTCTGCTTGTCCAGGAATAGGGGATGGGTCAAGGAGAGACGGGGGCAGCCTGGACAAGTCCATTGAGGGTCTCTGAAAAAGTCAAGTTACCAAACCCATCAGCAGTGACAACCCCTAGGGTTCTAGGTCCTTTATTTCTGTCATTAACTTATAAAATTACACTTACTATCACATTAATACCAGTAGCTATCATTTATTAAATGTATATATCAAGACTATCCCAGTGTTTTATAAACTTGCCCCGTTTAGCCTTTGAAGAACCTCATGAGGTATGTGTCCTTCTCTCCATTTCATAGAGTTAGGAAGTGAAATTCAGATAAGCCAGGCCTCAAGGCAGGTATCTCCTGTTCATGGAGACCTTCTTGCCCTGACCCTTCCCCCCACCCCATCTAGGTAGTTCCACCCCCACCCAGGTCACTCTCTTAGTGCATCATGAGATGCCGTGTTCTTCAGAGTACTATCACTATCTGAAGTGATCCTACTCATTGATATGTCCTCTGGATGGTTCTTCTTCCACATGAAAGTGGGGGGGCCCTGTCTGCTTTGTTACTGCTGTATCCCCAATGCCTAGGATAGTACCCAGCACATAGTAGACAGTAAATCTTTGTTGATTTTGCTCTACTCTCTCCTTTTCCACCAGCCTCCCTCTTCCAGCAAATTCATTTGTTATCCTCCAAGAGGAGTTGCCATAATTGACATCATTTATATCTGTTCTTTGTAACATATACCTTCATTCACCGGACAAAGTTTGAGTCAGTACATTAAAATTAAATACTTCCTATACATGAGCACTTACAGCAGCACTATTAACAATAGCCAAAGGGTAAAAACAACCCAAATATCCATCAACGGATGAATGGATAAAAATGTTATGTCCAGGGGCGCCTGGGTGGCTCAGTCGTTAAGCGTCTGCCTTCGGCTCAGGTCATGATCCCAGGGTCTTGGGATTGAGCTCCGCATCGGGCTCCCTGTTCCGCGGGAAGCCTGCTTCTCCCTCTCCCTCTGCTGCTCTCCCTGCTCATTCTCTCACTCTCTCTCAAATAAATAAATAAAATCTTAAAAAAATAAAATAAGTACACATTTAGATTTATAACTAAAGTGAAATGATTGAAACGATTTTATTTTCCAAAATAATAACTAAGAACTCTCAAAAAATTTAATAAAAAAATTGATGGACAGACTATTAGGAGAGATTTTTGGTGACTAGGTAATAATTTGAATAAGAATAAAAGGCCTAGGAGCTCCTGGATGGTTCAGTAGGTTGAGCTTGATTTCAGCTCAAGTTATGATCTCAGGGTCGAATCAAGGCCCGTGTCAGGATCCATGCTCAGTGGGGAGCCTGCTTGAGATTTTCTCCCTCTCCCTCTGCCCCTCTACCACCTCTCTTTCTCTCTCTAAAATAAGTATAATTTTTTTTTAGAAGAATAAAGGCCTAAAGATTTTAGAAATTTAAAATATGAGTGAAGAAAATCTGTAACTTACTCTTGAAAATATTCAGAAAGTATCTTCAAGCAGTATGCAGAGCTTTAGTTTATGGGATCATTTCTGTGAAATTACATCATCATCATCAACTCAGTTTTCAAGTACAGAATTTGAGGAGGACATGTCTTTACTATGTTGATATAGTATCTAGAAGAAAGGAAAATTTGATAATTTGATGGCAACATCACTATCAACAGTGCCCAGTTCTGGCAAAGCAGCCAAAAGTATCTTAGCTCTTTCTACCTTTGAACCGTTTAAAGTGAACATCTAATTAATATCCAGATGTTCAGTGCAGCAATCACAGGGACAATCCTAAGGAATCAATGTTCATATATTATAAAAATCAAACTTTAAAATCTGATTAGTAAACTACAGTAATAAAATTGAAATAACAAACCATTGGAAAATCTTCAGATTTTTTCTTGGCAGTGGCAATAGATTTTTTCTATGGCAGTGATATTGGGCTGTGGTTATTGATTTTAGCACTCAGCCATTTGGCCAAATGTTCATTTGGTGTGTATTGTGTATGGTATGTATGTGTATTCACATAATATAAAATTAACTTTTTTTTTTAAGATTTATTTATTTATTTTAGGCAGAAAGATCATGAGCGTGAGGGACTGAGGGAGAGGGAGGGAGAGTCTTAGTCGACTTCATGCTGAGCACGGAGCCCAGCATGGGGCTTGATCTCACAACCTAAGCCGAAACCAAAAGTTGGATGCTTAACTGACTGCCACCCAGGCATCCCTAAAATTAACTATTTTAAAGTGAACAACTCGGTGGCATTTAATACACACATAATGTGCATCCACTACCTTTATCTAGGTCCAGATCGCTTGTTATCCCCCCCAAAAGGAAACCCCACACCCATTAAGCAGCAGTTCCCCATTTCCCCCTCCCTCCCAGCTCCTGGCAATTGCCAATCTGCTCCCTGTCTCTGTGGATTCATCTAGTCTGCATATTTCATGTAAATGGAATCCTACAACATATGACATTTTATGTCTGGCTTCTTTCATTTAGCATTATGTTTTTGAGGTTCATCCACATGATAGTAGGCATCAATATTTCACTCTTTTTTATGGCCCAGTAATATTCTGTTGTATGGATATATCACATTTGTTTATCCACTCATCAGCTGATGGACGTTGGGGTTGCTTTTACCCGTTGGCTAGTGTGAATAGTGCTACAATGAACACAGATAGTCTGAGTCTCTGTTTTCGATTCTTGCAGTATATACCTAAGAGGAGAATTGCTGGGTAATATGGTTATTCTATGTTTAACTTCTTGTGGGACCACCAAACTGACTTCCCTCCTGTTATTCTTCATACCCAGGATGTGTGCACAACTGTGGCCTGCTGAGCCAGAAATTCATAGTTTCTTTGATTGGCTCCCAAAATAACCAAGGTGTGGTAACACCGTGTCATTGGCATGATCAGATTCCAGAGACCTTTGCCAGGATTCCTTTGCAGTTGTCCTTGTACGTGGGCAAATCTGCTGAAGACAAACCAAAACATCTGTGTTGGGAGGAACTTAACCTGACCTTGATTGTGCTGGCTTACTGGGGACATTCATCTGTGCATTCATCAAATAGTTATTCAGCATGTAGTGTTTATCTGGAACCAAATAGGCAAAAATCTCTGCCTCAAGAAGCTTACATTCCAGTGTCAGGAGACAGACAATAGACAATAAAAATAATAAGTAGGGGCAGTCAGAGAAAGCCACACAAATTTATTAGCCCGTGGTTGTTTATAATTCTCTTTATATTTAAAAAAATTTCTGTTGTGACTGTCATTATGTTCTGTAGTTTATTTGCTTTCTTTTTCTTAGACACACATCTCTGACAAGATTTGTCTTTTTACTTTTTTCACAGAACCAGCTTTTAGTTTTTTAGTTGTCTCAGTTATTTGTTATTTCGTTGATTTCTGCCCTGATAGTTATTATTTCCTTCTTGTTTCTTTTAGTTGATTCTGCTGCTCCTTTTCCAGTGTTTCAGGTTGAATGCTTGGCTCCTACCTTTTTTAACCTTCCTTGTTTCCTGACAAATGTATATAAAGCTATATGTTTCCCTTTAAATTAGTGCTTTTTGCTGTGTCCCACCGGTTTTGACATGTGCTGTTTTCATTATCACTCAGTTTTACACATTCCAAAAGTCATTTAGCAATGTGTTATTTGGTTTCCAAATAGTTTTAAAATCCATCTTTAAAAACTGCATTTTTCATTTCATTGAAATGCAGTTGGAGGACCTAGTCTGTATCATATTGATCATTGAAGCAATTCATGTCTGCTTTTGTACATGTTCCATGTGCATCTTAAAAGAATGTGCATTCAGGGCTGGGTGTTGAATTCTCTATATGTCTGTTAGCTCAAGGTAGGCCCTCTCTAAGGAAGTACATTTGAGCTGAGATCTGAATTCCAAGAAGGAGCCAACTCTCTGAAAATGTAGGAAGAAAGGATCCCAGGCAGAAGAGATAGCAAGTGTAAAGGCCCTGAGGTATCAATAAACTTGGTATGTCCCAGGAGCAGAAAGAGGGCAGTATGAATGGAGTGTAGTGGGCAAAGAAGAGAGTAAAGTGAGCTAAGATCCTGAAAGGAAGTCAGGGGCCAGATCAAGCAGGGCCTCAGAGGCCATGGTATGAACTTTTTATTTTATTTTTATTTTTTAAAAGATTTATTTATTTGAGTGAGAGAGCACGCATGGGGGGCGGTGAGGGGAAGGGGAAGAGGGAGAGAGAGTCCCAGGCAGACTCCCCACTGAGCGTGGAGCCCAGTATGGGGCTTGATCTCATGACCCTGCGATCAGGACCTGAGCTGAAACCAAGAATCAGATGCTTAACCAACTGAGCCACCCAGGTGCCCCATGGACTTTTGATTTTAACTAACACAGTACATTCATTGACCACTTACCAGGTGCTGTGCTAAGCACTTTATATAAGCTGAATGTCAAGTACAAATTGATCTCATTTTATTTTTTTAAAGATTTTATTTATTTATTTATTTGTCAGAGAGAGAGAGAGAGCACAAGCAGGGGGAGCTGCAGGCAGAGGGAGAAGCAGGCTCCCCGCTGAGCAAGGAGCCCAATGTGGGGCTCGATCTCAGGGCCCCAGGATCATGACGTGAGCCGAAGGCAGACGCTTACCCAGTGAGCCGCCCAGGCGTCCCTGATCTCATTTTATACAATGGAGGAATCATTTTGATATTAAAAGTACCTTAGTGATCATATTTAGCCCTGTCCTTTCCTTTTGTAAATAAGAAAACTGAGATGAAGTCTCGACGGTTCTCACAGCTAGTTGTTTGCAGCCCGGGCTCTGGACATCCTGTCTCTTTGATAGATAAGCTCCTAAAAAGGAGGACTCCGTTTTTATATAATTTCATTGAAATTTTATTGAAAGGAATCTTATCTTGTTAGGAACACCTCTGTAAAACAAAAATCACTTTCACCCATACTGTGTGCTGATTTTGTACATCTAGATTTTTACTGATTGGATTTATTTCCAGTAAGTGCCCCACAGGGACTCCTTCCTCTCCTGAAACATTCTGCTCACTCTAATTTTACCCCTCTGCTTCAGGTTGACATTTGGATGTGTTTCTGTGAGGCAGCAGCTTCACCGCCCTTTATTCTCCGGGGGGCCACCTTCATTTCCAGAACGACCCATCCCAGCCCTTTTTTGATGAGGCCTCTGTGGCACATTCAAAAGCCTCCACATCACAGA